AAAAAAAACAGCATTTGATAAGTAGCAGTCTTTCATAAAATTTCATAGTCTAACTTTTTGGCAACAATCTTAAATCTGCTTGTTGTAATTTTAACAGGCACATATATATCTGGAATCAGCTTTAAAATATATATTATTATTTTGATTTTTAACCTCGTCATTCACACTTTAATGTTAAAGAGAAGAAAAAAAGAGGTGATGATTTTGATTCCGCCAGCAGGTGTTTCTCGCCGTCAGAAGGAGGAGATGCGCGCGCACGTTCATTTTTCTCAGCTGGCCAACAACAATAAACATTCGGTGACAGAGCGGCAGAAGAGCACTCTTCAAAATCATCCCTCCCCCCTCTTCGAATGATAATTTAAAAAAGAACAGAATGTAGAATCTTCTTTGGAACATTTACATTTAGAAGGATTAATTAACTTTTTTTATAAGAAGAAAAGTAAGTTTTATTTCTCTGTGTCTTCTACAGAAACATATGCTGTTGTTTTTTCTCAAAGCTAACAGCTGTTTAACTCTCAAATTCATTGAATGTATTCTCCAATCATTTTCTCGTTCGTTTAAAACCAACCAATGAAAAACTTTAAATTGCTGTTTTCTCTTACTTTCTTTAAATGATAATTTTTTTTTTTTTTAAAGGAATAAATTAAAAACCATTTACTGAAGCAGTTCCGGAGACGGGAATAAGCTTTTTGGAGAGACGAATTATCTTACCTTTTAAATAAATAAATAAATATATTTTCAAGAAAATAAAAGGAAAAGAATAATGAAATCGATAAAACTGTTTTTTAAAAATTTTTTCACTGAAAACTTAGAGCTCGTAGATGCGTGATTTTTTATGTTATGTCAATGTTTTTTTAATGTTTTAAGAAAAAATAATAACGAATCACAACAACAAAAGAATATTACTAACGAATATAACTTAAGAATAATATAACTATGCTATAATAATCAGGCCTCGGAATTAACTGTGGTCCGGGGACGGGGGGGGGGCTGTGGGCACTCTCGCCCCCTCAACTTCTATAAATGATGAGACACAGTTTCTTGTATGATTACAGTTTTTTTCCTCTATATTTGTGTAATTAAATTTTCAATTATAAAAAATAGATAATCTTTTGTATCCGAATTTTCAAATTTTTTTTTCTCTATTTCAAACGAGTTTCGGTATTTCCTTGGTGAAAACTACTACCAAAATCATCCTTTACTCATCCCTCGCGGACGATATATTCGGTCCCATTATTGACCGATGGAAAAAGCTCTCGGTTTAAAATGTCACAGTGGACAGATCAAAAAAATAAAGAAACAGAATTTTAAAAAAAATGCCCTTAAAAGAGAAATGAATAATTTACGGGTAAAAAATTTATTTTATTAATTTAATTTTAATTTTAAAACAGTTCGAATCGTGAAGTTAAGATTGCAAATTCCATTTTTGTGAGGGTACAGATAATTCGAAACCGGTTAATGTGTATATATGTTCAAAATTTCGAGAAAACATGGAAAAAAATTACAGAACAATGAAGAAAAGGGAGAAAAGAATAATAATAGTAGAAATAAAAATAATATGAAGCTGGAAGAAAAAAAATTCGAAAAAAGGGGGAAAAATTTATAAAAATTCGGAAAATAAAATATATAATCTCTTTATGACCTTACACGAATTACAATTATTTTAATCATTAATTGTAATGGAAAGGCGGAATTTAGAAAATGAAGTAAATTGAATCATTGTATACATTTATCGACTTAACACATTGAAATGAAATTTATCTTAATAATACAAGAAAATAACTCACTATCTTACAATAATTATATTTGAAGTTTAGTTAAGTCGTATTATTATTTGCAAATAAAACTAAAAAACACCTTGTAAAAAAATATTTTTATTATAATTCATATGGTGTTATTTTTCCTGGAGCATGCGCTCTCAAACTGCGGGCGCTCCCTTGCAATGTGGGGTTTGCGGGGGTGTTATTTACACCACTCAGAATTTTTTTTTCATTTAAATTCACATTAATAACTTTTCTTTAGCCTAACAGAATTGCCGTTCAAATATTTATGGACCCAACCAACCGGCTGTATCAGCCCCAAAAATATGTTTTTCCCAACCTAAGTGCACAACAAATAAAAAAAAAACAAAACCCTTTTTCAAAAAAAANAAAAAAAAAAAAAAAAAAAAAAAAAAAAAAAAAAAAAAAAAAAAAAAAAATATCAAGTATTAAAATATTTTTTTAGAAAAATAAAATTTGCGATCTAGTTTAAATAATAGTATTAATTATATATCTTAATATAGCTTTTCTAAATAAATGAAAACTAAAAAGTAACAATTGAAAAAAAAAGGAAATTTAAGAATTTTAAATAATTATAGCCATTCAATATTTCGCATAAACCTTATTTCATAGTTATCATAAGATCTGTTAAAACGTTTTGATCAAATTTTATTAATGCTACTAAATTTTGCAAATCGCATATTAAACGCATACATTTCTACAATACAAACCATATGTATTTGAATTCAAAAATGGGATATTAATTTTTATATTCAAATACTGTTATATAATACCGTAATACTCAAACCGACTCTTACATAATATATGGTTTATAGATTTTAAAATTCTGCAAAAAAACTCTGTTCTAAAATAAGTAACGGACAAATAGTTTTTTTTTTAAATAGTTGATCTGAAAAACTTAACATTTTACATGATACTTATTGCTAGAGAATTGTAGTAATCTTAAGTGTCTTTCATTTTTCTTATGTCCTTGTAAGTAATAATATTTATAAATACACGATAACAAAAATTTCTGATAACACCCAAGACGAAAGAAAAAAAAAGTAAACGAAAGATCGAAGTTGAATTTAAAAGACATTTTGTTTATTCAGAAGTCAAACCGAGAGCTAGAACGCGGTGTATGTGTGCAGCGTGAAAGTTAGGCAAAAAATATCATAATTATAAATAAGTAATAGTACTAAAATCCTTTAAAGACCTTTCTTCTTTTTCTTTAAAAAAAATATATATATATGCCACCAATCAGCAGCTAAGAGTGGGAGGAAAAATCAAAAAATTTGTTGCGTGTCGATTTTGCGAATATATTCATTCACCAGTTTCCGTTTCTTTTCAAACATGAAAGTTCATAATAAGGGTGCACAAAGCGAAAAAATAAATAAATAAATAAAAAAAGGAACATCATGAATAGCTTTTGATTTAATGATCAGATTGTTATGTGCGTAGTCTTTAAAACGATCGTATATTTAAAATTCGCTTTCTCAGAAACTATTCAATCGATTTGGTTCAAATTTTGTATTTTGCCATATAGAAGCACATTTTTTAAAATGATGTAAAAATTTGTATGACTTACAATTTAAATTTTTTCGACTAAGTAAAATAATAAACAATTATTTAAAAAAAAACAGCTTTAGCGTGCAATTATCTTTGGATAAACAAATTTTCAAATGGTGTGCAAAAATTTTTTGATTCGGGATTAAAACTTTGCTCGCTCTCCTGATCAAACTATTGGAACCACATTCCCCAGATTGTGACTACCCTCAATATCTTGAGGATCGGGAATCCGACGAAATAAATAAATGTTTATTCATAGTATAAGGCAGTGATTCTCAACCACTGTGCCGCGGCACTTTTGTGTGCCGCCAAATTCTTAAAATGTGCCGCTAAATATTAGAAATGATACAATAAAGATTATAATGTTTTTTTTTATTACGAGTGAAGTTTAAATTAAAGAAAAAAACATATAAACCAAACAAAACAAAACAATAAACAAAATAATAAATCTGTTATATTATATCTTGATAATTAAGATTTTACTTAGAATCTTATAGTGCGTCTAATAATAATTTTGACAAGGACTTTGGGAGAATCCCCCGCCTTAAAGCCAACACGCAAATTTTTTTCCAAATTGTGTATTTAGTGTCAATTCAGTAAATCAGAAGAACCTCATTATTTTAAGTGGAAGCAAATTATTGCTAAATTTCACGCTTTCAAGTCTATCTGTACAAAAATAAATTTCAATAATATTAAAAGTCAAAACAATCTGGTTGTAGAATCTTTTTACCAGTGATCAACCTCAAATATTCTTGGTTAAATGTTAATTCATCTGCCGCGACCTTCAAATAGGAACGAAGCTGTGGAAATATAGTGACCATGAATTAAACTTCCTGAATATGGATCAAACACTAGAAAATGTAGGAAACTTTGCTGGTATGATTAAATCAAAAATATTGTATATGATGCATATAATATATATNTCCTTCCCGACCTATGACCTGTTTTAATCCTTCCACTCGGCAACGACGTTATATATATATATATATATATTGTATAGGTTATAAATTTTGCTTTGTATAGCAGTGGTTACAATAAAAATTTGCATTTACATTTTAATCAACTATAGCAGTGAATAACAATGGATGCACAACTACAATAGTATGAGTTGTACATTCTGTAGGCAAATAATTACAAAAAACAATACAGGATATCGCATCAACTTTGCAAAACTGAATTTACGGAATGGTCCCTTCCTCCTCAACATCCATTATCTTTTTTTTTCTTGAGCCGTGATGGTTCAGGGGATAGAGCGTTCATCTTCCTATGAGGTGGATCGGGTTCGATTCCCAGTCTGATGGCTGAATTCCTCACCCGGCTTGCACCGACTAAAGTGCTGTCTTAAAATATCTGTAAGAGTTTAATTAAAGGAAGTTTGTTAAAGTTTAAAGAAATTAAAAATTGAAAATAATCAAGTAATGAAATTAAAACAATTAATCAAAGTTAAGATTAAAAAAACAAGATTAATCTTAAATGACTTAATGAAAGAATAATGCCTAAAGCACTAACTAGAGACAATTCATTCACAACTTAAGTACATGATCTAATAAATACAATAAAAATTGCGTATGTGGCAAGGCAAACCCACAAGAATGCATAACAAATTAAAATAAAATAATACTTAAGTGAATATGGTAAGGTTAAAAAATTATACATTAAATTGCGTTAAATAAAAGGCCGAATAGTGGTGGTCCAGCATTGTTGAACTCCGAATAACCCAATAGGTCCATTGGGTCAAAAATTTAGAAAAATAAGTAGATAAACAAAAACCATTAATATAAAAGATAAGGAGAATTGCATATAGAAATATTTTTTAAAAAAAAACACATTCTTGTGAGATTGATAATCATCTGAGCTAACTAAAAAAAACAATGACTACTCACCCCAACATGGCGTTGAGACAACTAAATTGTAAGGTGATAATACGAAGATATATGACACTGGTCACTTGTAAAAATAAATCTGTTTATTTTTGTTGAATCGTTGTTATACATCGACAAAACACTACAAAATAGCCTTCGTAAACTCACAATAATAAAAAAACACATTTTCCGCAAAGTATTTCCAACATTTTACATCACCAGATCAAAATCTTGTCATTAAAAAAATTCAATCACATATTGAGATAAGAGCGAGAATTCTCTCTTTTTTCCCCGTCATGCATCGCCTTATGAAAGCTCGGGGGTCACCCTTGAAAAACCGACGAGGGAAAATGATGGGTGCGGAGATTGTATCAAATTACCCTTGGTAAAGAAAAAGACTGGGGAAAAGTCTTAAGGCAGTGCATGACTGAAGAAAGTAAAAAAAAACAGTAATAGACAATTATAAATAAATTAATATTGCATAATTAAAATATAAAGCATAATAATAATCTATAAAAGTTAATAATTAAAAAAAATATGCAGTAATAAACATGTACAATGTAAATTGATGAAATGAATTAAATGTAAACTGAACATTAAATGAAGTTAAGAGCAGGGATCCGTAAACAAGAAATTAAAAGTTAAGATGATAAAAGTAGAGCAAATTAAAAAAAAACAAAATAAATTAAAGAGAAAATAAACTTGTGATAATTAACATTATCACAATATCCTCAGTGGTAATTGGATCGTGGGTTAGAGTCACCCTGCCGTCAGGCTAACCATGAGAGGTCTTTATTGTTTTCCTCTTCATGTAACTCAAAGACGGGTTAATTCAATCAAAAAGTTCTCCACGAAAGCAAATTTCTTCCAACACTTGATCCAGGAATTTCCCTTGTCTTTTAGAATGGGTTCAAAATTACAAGGCTACAGAATTTAACATTAGTAGTCGTAAGTCCAAATCGGATTGGCTGTTCGACGACTGTTACAAGATAAAATAAAAATATCCGCAAACTGGAATGGGACTACCTAAGCAGGATATGTAATGGTTGCCGTGTAAAGCAACCGTGTAATGCTCACAGACAATAATGCAATTATTGTCGGTGAGCCAGTTCGGATGAACATTGTAAATCTGATTCATAGAAAGTTTGACAGGTGTAAGTGAGTGATTTATTTTAGAGGACTCCATGCCGTGGTTTAAACCAACGCCTCCTTTAACAACGGTTTCTTATTGGTAGTCCGATCAGACCACTATGAAGGTAAGCCAGTTTACGAAAGAGCCATTTAATAGAAAATCTAGTAAAATTAAGAAAGTGGTAACAAATATATCTCTACGAATTTGTTTCATTTATAAATATGATTGGTTTGTCTTATTTACTTGTCAACCACTACAAATTTAATTCTCAAATATATATATGATAAATTTCTCCCAATTGCTTTTAGAAAAGAATTTGGGTTCATGCCCCCAAATGGAACACTTTTTAAATAGGCTGCGCGAACTACTTATAAGAAAGTGGAGGCTCTCTGATGTAGAAGGTGATGGATAAATTCCTCGCTGCAAAATTCTCTTTTATGTACACCAATAATTTAAAGTGTAGAGTTCAGTTATAACTAGAGTAATCTACGAAGCTTCAAATGCTAAAGAAATACTTTCAAATGCAAACATTTTATAGTTCGTTCACCAGGAGTTGGCACTTGCCACAGCCTTCATCACGTGGTATGCGACGATACTATTTCGCTATTTTTGGGAAAGGAATGTGAACAATCCTGAGCAAAGTTGCTATTTGGGGATCGTATGACAAAAATATTTATTTCGCAATCTTTATGGGAATTTTTTTAACAATAAATATTTCATAAATTTGATGATATTGCTCTCTTGTGGGTGAATAGTTTGTCCTCTTTGAGACATTTTGCAGGTAAAAATGCAATTCTTAAATTTAAAATATATTTAATTAGCTAGAGTAACGAAAGGTGTAATGGCAGAAGATAAGGAAGTGACTGAAAAAGTATTCACTGTTTGCTTTTGGAGCGCATTAAGGGTTGTCTCGATTTCAAGAGCGGAGATGTTTCTCTTCTTACTCCCGCACTGAAATGAACTCTTCGTGCGAGGAGGTGGAACCAAGTGCCAACTCTGGTGAACGAACTATACACGAGGAAGACTGAGGAGTTATCCTTCAATAATTTGTTTGCATTATCTTTTCAGCATTTTAATCTGAACTTTAAATTATTAAGAGGTCATTATTATACTTGTAAGCTAAAAGCGTAGCCATTGCTTTCTTAATTATTTCTAAAGTAGGAAATGTATTTTGGGTCATCAGAAGGTCATGAGATGGTTGAAGCAATGCTGTTGCTGTTGTGCTGATGAACGACTAAGTGACAGTAATTCTTCGCTGGTGCAACAGTCGGGTGCTAACAACAAGTTCTGCATTCCGAGGAGACACTCTTCCTATCACCACAGTACGTTGTTTTGTTTTCATTTTTAAATTGCATTCACCATTCTTTTCTACCTGGACCAGTGATTGGCGGCCCGCGAAGACTTTCTTTGTGGCCCGTGAACTAAAATGTACTAGTTGTAATTTTTTTGCTGACAATTTTCGTAAAAAATGTATATGGATTTAAAATACTTGTCTTTCGTTAAAAAAACCCTAATTTCTTCGTTTCTGTAAAATTTAACATACCAACGCACAGTGTGCCAGCATCCAAGGTTTCGTGGCCAAAATTAGTATTTCGATAAAATTTGTTTCAAAATTTGGGGGGTTTTATGTGCAGGTAAATTGAATTCGTAGTTGAAATTTTAAAATACACTTAAAATTCCAAGAAATAAAAAATAATTAAAAAATGGCGGCTGAAATCCGGCGAGCAAAAAAAAAATAATAAATGTATATATAGTACGTTTAAATAATTAAATATGGCAATGAAAATATAATAAATTTCGTCATTTTATATAAAAATTAAAAGCAAATTATATTTCCGAAGTAATATTACAAAATAATCCGAATTAACTACAAAATAACGCGAAAACATGAAAAAAAACATAATTTTTGTTTTTCGGTATATTTAGTCAAGGAAACATCAAGGAAGACAACAAAAAAAAGTTTAGCATTACCTCGTGGAACTTTTGGAGATAAGTTTCGAAAGTGATTCAAACATTATAAAATGTCAAATGATAAGATATAAACTATAAGTTTGTCAAGAGTATTAACTAATCCAACAAATTGAATAATTGTACTATAATTTCAGACTAAATACTCTGATGAAAATGCAACAGTAAGGTGAAATTCCTATATATATTTCGGAAATATAAATTTAAAAGTTACATTAAAAAAAAATTTTAAAAAATATTTTTCACTACATTGTACTCTTGTTGGTCCAAAAAGTAAATTATAATGTTTGGAATGATTATGAATACCTAATTTGGGTGATATTAAAACTGCCTCGACATATTTTAGTTGAAAATTTAATTTTGACTTTTGGCCAAAGATCATGGTCTTCTGGCCCACTGTGCAACGGTGCAAAAAATTTGTTTCTCAGGTAAAAGTCTACTTCTTATTTTAATTTGTAATTCAATACTTTTGTCTCGTACAACTTGATTAAAAATCTGACAGTAATGTTGAATGTTCCTTCAAACATAAAAGAGTCCTATACAAAATTTTTATAAAGTTACTGCCCGCCATTACACTGGTGTTCTTAATTGCGGCCCCCGGCCTCACGTAAGTTGGAAACCTCTGATCTGGACAAGTGAGCTATTTTTTTCTACGTCAATAAAATCAAATTTAATACAACCAACAATTTTGAAGTTTTATGAGACTTTTATGCACAGGGTGCGTAGGGTTTTTAAAAAGTGCTTGAAAGTACTTATTTTCGATTTTCGTTTATTAAAGACCCTTAAATGTGCTTTTTTCAATGGGTGCTTTTAAAATGGGCTAAGTTTTCCATTTTTCAAAATGAAATATTTTTTTCTTTACCATGTTGATTTTCTCCACGAATTATGCAAAAAGGAATTGTCCTATTCAACGTTTTTCACAATTAATTCAACCCCAATCTATTTCGGCGAAACGTCGGTCCGTAGTGTATGAAAACACCATTCGTTTTGCATGTTTGATGAAATACTTGCGGGTCCGCATTTGCGTATGCTGAGCTGGATTCAGTGGGAGGGATTTTTGTCTCTCATGTGCTGCATTTTGCAAGAGATTCTCAATTTCAGATTTCATTTTCCTCCCTCTGGAATAGAACCGAAAAATCTCTCTAATTTTTGCTGATTAGGGGGACCAAGATCAAATTTTCATTGTCAAATGTTTTTCTCTGATAGCGATATAAAATTCCATTCCTCTAAATTCCATCGTTGGTGACGTAACATCGTCTTCGTCATTGCCAAGCAAACAAAACCATCAATTGCCAAAAACTTGCCAATCCTGTCTAATTATGATATTTTTTTCAAAGTGCTTGAAAATATTTTTTGAGTGCTTGAAAAGTGCTTAAAAGGTGCTAATTTTTGTTGAAAAATTTGGCTGCGCACCCTGATGCATAAAATGCATTCATAATTTAAAAACTATACCTCGTTACCATAGTCACCGCCGCGGGTCCAGACGAATGGCTATGGAAGCTCTTACTTTTGGCAAAGTATACAGAGGAGAAGAAGGCTAACTTCCCTAGGTGTAATGCAAACCAGTCCCTCAAGGTTTGGTGCGCTCCCTGTGTAAAAAAGAATATTTAAGGGCATACAGCAGAAGTTCTTGAAACGGGTTTCCACCCTCCTCTCCTCCCAACCACTACTGTGGTCAGCCATGGTGGCTCAGGGGATGGAGTGCTTGCCTCCCATTGAGGTGAACCGGGTTCGAATCCCGGCGAAGATTGCTTATTTGAATTCCGCACCAGACTCTTATCGACCACAGTGCTGATTAAAATATCCCCAGTGGTAGACGGATAATGTGTTAGGACCCCCTTGCCGCCAGACTAACCGTGAGAGGTCTTAGCGGTTTTCCTCTCCATGTAATGCAAATGCGAGTTAGTTCCATCAGGAAATCCTCCACGAAGACAAATGTCTTCCGATATGTGATCCAGGAGTTCTTTTGTCTTCTTATTGAAATACATGCTGTTTTTTTGAGTAATTTGAAGCAAAGGTTTTTTTAAGTGTTTTTTTTAAATTGTAGGTGAGAAAAGAGAGGCAGCAGAACGGAGTTCTTCATCTTCTGACGATGAGGAAGAACATAAGAGAGGAAGAAGCTGGTCCACAATTCCATCCACAGATTCTTCTGATCGAACAGCGAAAAAATCAAGAAGCAGCTCATTGTCGTCAACACAGTCAGTATTCTATGTTACTGTTAGTGACAGAAATGGGTGGTTGTTGACTTCCTCAGATGAATGTGGACACTCACATAGTCGCTTTGGTAAATGTCCGAAATATAGATCTAGTTAAGTGCAACTGCCCGGTATACATTTACTCGGTATATCCTACATTGATGTTTTTTAAGTTTCAGTTGCCCGGTCTGCCCTAAATCAATGTTTTTGTAAGGTCAGGTGCCACTGCCCAGTATGGATTTAACTGGTACTCAGAACACTGATGTTTTTCCTAATCTATCTTCAGCAGATATTAAAATATCGAATAAATATAATAATATCAACGAATAAATTAATATCAAATCGGATATAACAAATTAACGGATATTCAACATAGCGACTATGTGATTGTTGACATTCACCAGTAAAAGTCGACATTCTCCCGATTTTGGTCATTCTCGGTAACATCTATACACAATGTGTAGATGTATAGATGTTACCGAGAATGTTATAAAACTTTTGATGTTATAAAACTTTTCAGTTAAATAAATACAAAATCATTTCAAAATAACGAAAAAATAAAATAATCAGAAAAAAATAACAGAATTATTTATTTTTTATTTTTTAGTGAAATTTTTAAAAACAACAAATCGTAACAAAGAACGATAAAGTTAATTTTTTTAAGCATCGATGATTATTTTTCGAATCTAAGAAATCGTCTATTTCGTTACTTCTAACAAAATGCTCATAATTGTGCATTGTGAAAAATGCTGCCGAGTACAAAAAACAAAACAAAACGATAATGAATGAGAAACAATTAAAGAGGTTGGTCAGCGGTATGAGCAGGAGGTGGGAACTTTAAGTAAATTAAGTAATTCCCGAATGGTTAATGGTAACTCAAACGTATAATTAGTGGTTTGGGTATAAAATTTCATAATATGGTCGAATAATATATAAATCTCATAATATCGACAAAATATCATCGGACAAAATCTCACGAAGTCAAAATCTCGTTAATAAAATACTTTTTATTCATCCACTGAAATTCAAACACAATTTTTTAAGTTTGTAGTGGATGACACCTGATGTTAATACAGTTTTTTTTTAAAAAATATTAATTCATTCATTAAACAGGGATGAGCGAAAAACGAAATGGAATTCTCTGATGGGTTAAGCGTTAGTCATTGTTTTAAATTTCGCTAAAAGCGATTCAGTTTTCCACATATTTTAAAAATAGCATAATTGATAATTTTTAACTTATGGCTCTATTCCCAAACTGTACAAACAAGCATTAAAAGCAAATAGTCAATATTTAGTAATATATAGTCAATAATAGTCAATAGCAAATAATGACTATTTAAAGCAAAAGAGCTGAAAAAAATCACGAGGTAGGTAGATAGTTACTTTATTTACGTCGCACTAGAGCTGCACAATGCGCTATTGGCGACGGTGAGGGAAATATCCCTGAGGATGATCCGAAGACATGACATCTCAATTTTGATCCTCTGCAGAGGGGATTGGCTCCCCTGCTTTGGTAGCCCAACGACCTGAGCGCGCGAAGTCGAGCACTTTACGGTAGAACAGTTTAAATAGATCGATATCGCACACCCTCGGTCCCTACACAGGCTGATCAAAGTGTTCACCCACCCGCTTTCTGACCGCAGTCAGTGATGCTTGACTTCGGTGTTCTACTGGGAACAGTGTCTTTACGATCAGTCCATTGCGGGACAAAAAGTCACGAAAAAGCCTTAAAAATCGCAATAGCTTTCGAACAAATAGGAATTTCGAAGTAAAATTCAAGGTAAGNAATAAGGCACTCCAGGGATCTTTTACATGCCGCATAATCATACGACATGGCCGCTGAGGATTTTCTGCATCCCGAAAATCCGGTGTCTGGGCCGGGGATCGAACCCGGAGACTTGGGCTCAGAAGGCCGACGACAAACCAACTGCGCCACCCAGCCAGATAACAGAAATATAAAACAATATAAATATCAAATAATGAGAAAGAATAATAGTGTCATAAAATAACTTTTAAGAATAACAGAAATATCTCTTTATATTGAAGAATCGTAATAGCCGGCGAACTAGCTGTTTGGAGTATTTAACTTAGCGTTACATTTTGGTTCGATGCGCAAAAACTGCAAGACTTAGAAACTTGAATCGGCAAAGGTGGGTAGGAAAAATGTACAGGCAAAACAATGGAGTAAAAAAAATTTTAACATTCGATAATAAAAAGGAGAATTAGTAATTTTTAAACTTGAAGGAAATATTACTACACGGGCCGCTCTACAGCCAGCAGGAATACCTCTACAGAGTAGAAATTCAGTAGGCTGAAAAGGGGCATATTTGTTTATGAACTTAAACCAACATTTTATTTTATCGAATTTTCAATTTGTTCGAAAGCAGTTTTAAGTGATTTTTAGGGATTTTTTTTTTTTTTTTTTGCTTTACGTTAAATTTTGCTTTGCTGCCCGATATCTAAAATCTTGGAAATTTAAAATTACGAAGGGATGTAGAAAAAAATTACATGTGGTACGACGAAATAAAAAAGATTTAATACTGGATAATTATTTCGAGAATTTTCAAACGTTAAACTTGTGGGGAGAAAATACCACGTTTAGTCGATTTGGAGTTCGCTGTAATACAACTTACGTAAGTAGTTAAATTTTAAGTACTAAAAGACAAAGTAAAAAAGACAAAGTAACAAAGAACGATAAAGTAAATTTTTTTAAGCATCGATGATTATTTTTCGAATCTAAGAAATCGTCTATTTCGTTACTTCTAACAAAATGCGTCCCGCAGTGGACTGATCGTTAAGACACGGTTCCCAACAGATCACCGAAGTCAAGCATCACTGGCCGCGGTCAGTGTGCGGGTGGGTGACCCACTTAGATCAGTCTGCGTAGGGACCGAGGGTGCGCGGTATTGGTCCTCGTTAAACTGTTCTACCGTAAAGTGCTCGACTTCGCGTGAAGATCGTCGGGCTACCGAAGCAGGGGTGCCATCCCCTCTGCAGAGGATCAAAATTGCGATGGCATGTCTTCGGATCATCCTCAGGGATGTTTCCCAGACCGTCGCCAATAGCTTATTGTGCAGCTCTAGTGCGACGTCAATGAGCTACAACAAACAACAAATCTAACAAAATGCTCATAATTGTGTATTGTGAAAAATGTTGCCGAGTGCAAAAAACAAAACAAAACGATAATGAATGAGAGATAAAGGGGTTGGTGAGCGGTGTGAGCAGGTGGTGGGGACTTTTAGTAAATTAAGTAATTCCCAAATGGTTAATGATAACTCAAACGTATAATTAGTGGTTTGGGTATAAAATTCCATAATATGGTCGAATAATATGTAAATCTCATAATATCGCCAAAATATCATCGGACAAAACCTCACGAAGTCAAAATCTCGCGTACATAAACTCTCGCGAAAACAAAATCTCGTTAATAAAATACTTTTTATTCATCCACTGAAGCTCAAACACAAATTTTTATGTTTGTAGTGGATGACACTGGATGTTAATACAGTTTTTTAAAAAAATATTAATTCAACAAGTAAATAGGGATGAGCGAAAAACGAAATGGAATTTTCTGACGGTTTAAGCGTGAGTCATTGCATTAAATCACGAGGTAGGTAGATAGTTACTTTATTTACGTCGCACTAGAGTTGCACAATGGGCTATTGGCGACGGTGAGGGAAACATCCCTGAGGATGATCCGAAGACATGACATCTCAATTTTGATCCTCTGCCGAGGGGATTGGCTCCCCTGCTTTGGTAGCCCAACGACCTGAGCTCGCGAAGTCGAGCACTTTACGGTAGAACAGTTTAAATAGATCGATATCGCACACCCTCGGTCCCTACACAGGCTGATCAAAGTGTTCACCCACCCGCTTTCTGACCACAGCCAGTGATGCTTGACTTCGGTGTTCTACTGGGAACAGTGTCTTTACGATCAGTCCATTGCGGGACAAAAAGTCACGAAAAAGCCTTAAAAATCGCAATAGCTTTCGAACAAATAGGAATTTCGAAGTAAAATTCAAGGTAAGTTCACAAATAAAAATGGTTCGTAAAAATTTAGCTCCGTAGTTTTAGCGAAGTAAGTGATTGAAAAAAAATTCACTGCTTGCGTTTAGTGCACTTTTAGGGTTGTTTCAATTTCAAGTGCGGAGAAGTTTCTCCTCTTACTCCCGCGCTGAAATGAACTCTTCGTCCGAGGATGTGGAGCAAAGTGCCAACTCCTGGTGAACGAACTATAATTAGATTTACCTCCTCAGGAAGTTACTGGTTGTTACAAGGAAATATAATACATTCTTAACAACATACGATGCGTTAGTAGATAACAGAAGTCTCATATTTGAATCTAGAGTATACCAAAAATTAATGCAACAAAAAAAATGTTTACAGATAAGATTAAACTCAGTAGAGAGATTTTGTTATGCATTCTAATGCTATATTTGAGTTTCAAAGTGCATGCGCAAAATATTTTTCTGCAAATCGTAGTTATGCGAAGAGGTAGAAGCTATAATAGGGCAAATGCTATGCAAAATCTCTCTAGTGCCACTATTCCTGAAGGTTGGGAATAAAAAATACTTCTTTCCACCTTAGCATGAAAGTTAATGCTTTACTAGCAAGTTTGTGTTTCTTTAGCAATATTTTTTATTCGAATCGAATAACGTATGGAATGATTTTACAGTTACAATAAGGGTGCTCAATTTGACCGTCATGTTCTGACTGAGATAGCCGAAAGTGAGACAGCAGACGAGGAAGAAGAGGGAGAACCTAAACGTGATGACGTCTATGGCTACTTGACATTCTTTACAGCATACGATGAACGGGAACTCAGGTCAGTCATTTCATTATATATTCGGATATTTTGATGTCGGTCATACTTATGAAAATAAATTGAAAACGAAAAGGGACCGTCGCAAGTTTTATCTCTCTGTGGTAAAAAAATCTTTAGGGGGTCTGACGCTATTTTGAGTGTTCAACTTAATGTTCCATTTTGCTCTGCTGCTTAAAAACAGGGTGCGTAGCGTTTTTGAAAAGTGCTTAAAGGTGCTTATTTTAGTTTTGCATTTTTTTAAAACCCTGACGGTGCTTTTTTAATTCGGGGATTGTAAAAAGTGCTTTAATTTTTTATGTTTTTAGATTTTTTCCTTTGCCGTGTCGATTGTCATTTTAAATTACAAAAAATGCATGATTATCACAATTTTCTCTGCAATATTTATCAAAAACTAGTTATTTTATCACGATTATGTGAAGTTTGTGAAAATGTTCATAAATTAATAACTTTAAAGGATAGAAAAAATAATTTTTATCACTGCACAGATCCTAATTTCGGTTGTTTTTTGGAAAGTGATTAAAAATATAATTTGGCTGCTTAAAAAGTACTTAAAAGGTGCTTATTTTTTGTTGAAAAATCTGACAACACACCCTGAAAAACTATGAGAATTATAAACTTGAAGGTGTGTAGAAAAATGCCCAGGAATTATGATGGAATAAAATATTTATTATAATACAATTATAATCCAAGTTTATAACTATAAGACGTATAAACTTGAAATTACTTACACTTGATGTTAATGCAGTTCTTTCAAATATCAATTTATTATTATAAATTAAATTAATTAAACTTAATTAATTGACTTTAAAATTAATTTCAGTTTCATATGGGAGAAAATTTTTAATTATTTAATAAAAATTAACTAAAATAAAAGTTTTCTTTGCAGACCTCAGTAGGAATTGACTACAAAATTTAAACAAATGTAAGAATATTTTTTTTTCATTTAAGTTAATGCCAAAGAGGGTCGTTAAAGTCCGCTGGATTAGAAAATCGCAGCAGGACAGTGATTTTCTGTTGTGTGCACAATCCACGAATAAAACATACTGGATTAAAATTTCAGATTACGCGTGTTTGTGGAGAAAGCAAGCAGTCTTCCAAAGAAGAGTAGTCCACAGGAAGCCTACAACACTTTTGTTAAGATGTGCATCATCTTTTCGAACAAGAACTCTCTGATGACCAGAACGGTCAAAAACACCCTCAGCCCAATCTACAAAGAGGATCACATCTTTCACACAAACAGGTACAATCCTTCTTTTTTTTACACCTAAAATATAGAGAATAAAGGAATTATATGTATGGAGGAGTATCTTTCTAAGTACACAGACGTTCAGCTGACAATAAGCCAAACGCAAAGCTAACTTCTGGTGGCCAAACATTCAAAATTAATATAATATCAGAAAGCACCATTTTTATCCGAATATGGTTGTGAAGGTTGGTTGAAAAGGGAAGCCCGATGGCAGCGTGGTAGAGATTCGCGCTATCGTGCCACAAGCCCTGGGTTTGATCCTCGGTCCGGGCAAGGTTGACTCAGTCTTTCATCCCTTCAGTGGGTCGATAAATGAGTACCAAGCATGCTTGGGAACTAAACACTGAGGGTTCCGCGTTCGACTGACCACCAAACTGGGACATCTGCTCCTGCACCCCAGAGCCCAGGGTCAAGAAAACTGAGATGGGCACAGTAGGTCTTAGCCCTCTAAGGGCTGTTGCACCACTGAGTTTAGTTTAGTTTAGTAGGTTGAAAAAGAAGATATATCTTTTCGTGGTTATTTAAATTTAAAATATTCTTAATATTTAGTCAATTATTTTAAAATAACTATTTTAATAATTATTTTTTATTAATTATTTTTTATTAAACTTTTTTAATGAATTCTTTTTAATTATTTTAGGTCAAAGTGGACATCTACCAACCAGACCTGCTTGAGATTGAGTGTGTTCGACTGCGAGAGGCAGGGAAGGCACGATGCCGTGGGACATGCCCTTTTGCCACTGTCACAACTATCCGGTAAAAAACAGAGACACGTCCTGCCTCTCACGCCCATGTCCATTGTAAGTTAGCATTCCATTATTAGCATTGCTATGCAATTTTTTCATTATTAAAATTTTAGCATAGTCTTTGAAATCCCTTTTATACATGGCGTACTTTGCTGACCTCATTTTACTTAAATGAGCAAGTTCTGTAGAGAAAAGAGACTGTAGGTTCGTACGTCAGTAAGGAAATGTGCTGTTTCCTTCACTATGTAACACAAATGCGGGTTAGTTCCATCAAGAAGTCCTCCACGAAGGCAAATTTCTCCCAATACTTGATCCAGGAATTCCCTCGTGTTCGGGATTAGGTTCAAAATCACAAGGATACCGAGTTGAACATTGGTAATCGTAAACAGTAAAAAGGATCGACTGTTCAACAACCGTTATAAAAACGATGTAAAACGGGCTGTGATGGCTGAGGGGATAGAGGAGTTACCTTGTCTTCTGGATTGGGTTCAAAATTACGAGGCTACAGAAGTAAAACATTAGTAGCCGTAAGACGGTTATAAAAAAACAAAATTAAAAAAAAAAACGATGTAGTACCAAAACTCTTACAATCATTTTACCACAAAAGCAAATTGATTTTTAATACTTTAATTAATGCGTTCGTATTAGTTCGAATTCATCGAAAAGGGGGTAGCAGAAAATTTAATTATTGAAAGCATATACAATTGAAATTGTAAGATAAATGCTGAGAAGTTTGACTTTAGTACCACGAGGATTATATGTTTCGTGTTATATGTGGCTTATAAATGATAATTTATTTTATGCATTAAGTAAATAAATAGTTTTTTAAAGTAGCGTTGTAAATAAAGTACTGTCACGAGAATCGAGACTGAAATATGTTGCTATGGATAGATACTAATAGGGAAGAAATCACATGATTCCCCTCCCCTAAACCTTTAGGAATAGATTCCCCAATTCGAAATGATTTTATTTTCGTAGCCATGGTAACCGCTAGTAGGCGAGTTTAATGTGCAGAGTAGTTCTTGTGACAGACGGATAGGATTGAGATTTCTAATCATGTTTACTTAGAGGAAGAGATACTCCTTATAAATTAATTGTTTTTCTTTTTTCAGCCAACAAAGAATCTCGGTCAGATTCTGGTGGGTCTTTCTTACGTCCCCACTCAGAGTCTTCTCTCTGTCCAAGTGTTAAAAGCGAGGCATCTAACTCTCGATCCTGATATTCACAATAAGAGAATACACAACAAAGGTAGGTTACTTTTTTTCCTTATTTGGATCGGAAGTACTTGCACGCTTCCATGAAACCAAACATAACATACACTATCCGGCCAAAAGTATGAAGGCCCAAGTTTTGATGGTTTATGTTGGTTTCAGTGCGATTCATGATGGTCCAACATCATTTGATGGTCACCATCGTCCAACATGTTCCATTATGCGTTCAGGGTTTGATATGCCAACAAACTTCCATCATTCCATGAAGGAAAATGGTGCTTTAATACTATGATGGTTAACCATCAAGAGATGTTTGATTCTCATTTACCAGCAATGCATGATGATCCGTGATGCCATCACGAGGCCGAAAAAACCCAGAAACTTCACCAGTCCCCGAGTATGGCTTCTCCCGCAATGTACCCGTCCTCCTTAAGCAACTTTTCTTTTGTTTACCGACTACGTGAGCATGCCCCTTTGGTCTGACGAAGGAATTAACGGGATTTCTAGATTTAGAGGGCCATTTTAGAAGTGAGGCGCTAGACTCTTGTAATATAACAAAAATTGAAAATATATCACGAACATTAACGGGGGGAAAATGGCCGTCCGCGCGGAGAATTTTTGACCATCGAGGATGGGCGGTTTTCCGAGCCCTGCGTGATGGTTCCAACTATACATTTCCATGATGGTTTAACAGGAATTCTTGTTGGTTCACAGGAATATACCATCAAAACAATTTAGTTTTTTTTTAAAGTTATTGTTGTTGTTGTTACTTTACGTCGCACTAGAGCTGCACAATGGGCTATTGGCGACGATGAGGGAAATATCCCTGAGGATGATCCGAAGACATGACATCGCAATTTTGATCCTCTGCAGACGGGATGGCTCCCCTGCTTTGGTAGCCCGACAATCTTTTTTTTTTTTTAAGTTGGACCATCATGAATCAGTCCAAATTCCTACATAGGGATGATGGTTATTCATAATACTTCCTACATTTCATTTCTGAGATACGATGATGCAAATTCGTGATGGTCCATTTCTACGATGGTTTAATAATAATCATTGTTCGTTCAGCAGACATCAAAACAATTTGTTTTGTTTTCTTGCGTTGGCTCATCAAGAATAAGCCCGAAATCCTACATTGGGGTGATGGTTATTTATGTAGGTTACCATCAAAAATATAATGCTTCGTGATGGAATTATTGATGGTTCTCATTAGGATTATGTTGGTCCTTCAACGAAAAAACATAAAAAATTTTGACTTTCGGACACCCGGTTATTATGGTAAGGGTGTTTGTCGTGGTTTGGCCTAGGTCCATTAACTCCTGTGCTTGGAACTCTGAGATATATGTGGACAATACTGTTCTCCCAATTTTATGGCAATATTTCGGGGAAGTCCCATTTCTCTTCACATGAGAGTGACACAGAGGTGAGTTTACAATCATGATTTAATATTATCGCTTACCATACAGGCGGATATATTAAGTACAATTTTTGTCTAAATCACATAGTGCGTGAAGCTGATCGTTTGGCTCTAAATCATTTAACGAACCTCTTTAACCGTAATTCATAATAGTATTTTAATGTCATTTGCATAAACAATAATAATTGTGAAACGACTCATAAGATTGGATTTAAATAACCTTATCTTAAAATGTAGACTGAAATTACATTATAATAAGAAAGGGCAATTCTCTTAGTTTTAAATACTTAATTTAGAAAACAATCAAAATTAAAAATATTATAATTTCAGTACAGGTTTATCTTGAAATTAAATAATACCTTTATGATTTTTAATAGTTTTATGCTGATGGCAATAAAAACAACATGAAACTAGAAAACTAGATCCTACCATGTAATTTTTCAGGCTATTAAAAATGCGCTGGCAACATTGGAAAACTGTGTTAAATCATTATGTTTTAGAATTGTATAGAGAGATAAAGAGCAAATCGATGTGAATAAAAAACCATGCAAGGAGTTTACATTGTTCTTGCTGTCTTCAGACTCTCCGCTTTACAACATTGATAAAATTGTATACCTTGCAATTCAATTTTTTAGCAATATTATATAAATAATAAGAAATGTTAATTATTTATTAAAAGTTATTTTTTTGCATGAAATTATTTTTGAAAAATTAATAATCGACATGCAAAAATTTTTCCAATTCGCTTAAAAATTTCTCACGATAGTGCGAAATATGCAAAAGGTTAAATTAACATTAAGACGCCCAAACTTTGGAATGCTTTCCTGACCAAACTGTTCGGACCATATTTCTCTGATTGCGGCTACCTCTTATATTTTGGAGGTCAGAAATCTGAATACGGCGCAAACTAAGGTATGTTTATTCAGAGAAGGTAAGTTTTTGTGTCTGATTTAATAACTCATAATATCGTCTGCGCAAATTAATTCGTATATTTAAGGCATTCGAAATATCGTCTGCGCTAACGAGCGCAGACGAAAGCGTAAATATTTATTTTAAATAGTCACGAAAACAAATCAACCATGAAGTTACCTGGCATTGACAGCGTTGTTCATATTTGTTTATTTATTTTCAGATACTCTGGACACATTTGCAAAAGTGACGCTGAAATGTGCTGGTCAGAAAGTGAAATCGAATGCGTCACGTGGAATGCTTGGAGTAGATCCATTTTATAATTTCAAGAGTTCTTTTGTACTCCCACCACAATTCATGTTAGACGCCAGCCTCGTCGTTTCCGTTGTGGTCAGAGGAATTCTGGGTCGAGGTTTCACATTGGGACGCGTGATCTCTGGACCTTACACGGAGCTCAGTGATGGCACACTCTCACACTGGGGTAAAATGGATAAAAGAAATATCGTGCAATGGAGAAATTTGTATTTGTAGTAAAATTATTTATTCACCGTCTATCATATTTTAGTTTTTATTAAAAATGAAGTCTCCATTAGAGGACGCAGATAATATGTATATGAAGAATAAACATAACGACCTCAAATTTAACGAATCACTACTGAGGAAGGTGGTATTGAAAGCGTCAAAATCTTTTTGGTTGCCCAAGATAACAGGAAGGATGTGAAAAATGAAAATTCATCTTAAAAAAATCCAACTGAAATCTCTGACGAATTTAAAATTAGAATTTTTTTAAATTGGAAAAACGCATTTTTTAATTGAAACAAATTAGATTTACTAATTAAATCTCTGATAAAATATGTTAAAAACAATATTATAATTTGAGTTATTACTTCTTCGACTTTAAAATAGTTATATTAAATAAATATTGAAAAATAATCGCTGAATAAATAACGTCAAAGTTTATTCACGTTTTTCTTTCTTCAATTTCAGCACCTTTATGAGTTTGTTAAGACAAACACCCAATCTTATTACGAAAATATTTTAAATCATTCTTGAAAATTTTCCCGTTCATGTAAGTTCATTTGAATTCGCTACTAGCTTTAAAGATTTCGTTTTATGCTTTGTTCTATTTTTTCTTTATTTTTTATTTTTATTTCTGTTTTTTTACGTGATATTTATTACTTAATGTGTTCTATTCTATTTTGTTTTAAAACATTTTTTGAGTGCTCCTCACACTATTGTATTCACATATCATACTTTGGCTATATTGATACAATATTAGAAAGCACTGCTTTTTGCGGATATAACCGTGTGAGCTGATGAAGAGATTATCCCTCTCTTCTTTTTTCCTTCGGGATTTTTTTATTATTTTTTTATTAATATTTTTTTTCTCGTTTTTTTCATTATTCTGTAATTTTTTCCATGTTTTTCTCTACAATTTGAACTTATTTTATGAGTTCTATATACTTGCAGCTTATGCGCGGTAAATAAAACTTATTGATTTTCTTAATTTTCTTCGTTTTTGTCTTTTTTCTTTTTGTCCTTTTGGTACTTATTTATTGTGCTACACACCCACACCCACTACTCACGTTTCAAATTAAAATTAATTAAATTTAGTATATTGTCCGATATTATACATTTATAAATAAAGTATTACAGCAATAACATTTACATAAAAGTAAATATTTCTGCATAACTTTGAATAATAATAATTAATAACTTTATAATAATTAATAATGATAATGTACTTATTTCCTTATATTAATGATTATATACTGGTGAAAAGAATAAAAAAATAAAATAAAAAATATCAAAAGAAATCTAAAATTGAAAATATTATAAAATATCTAAAATAAAAATATATCAAACCAAAATTTCACAATTTGTGAAAAGTTCTTTTCTTGAAATAAACTGGATCCATTGTTCAGGCCTGTAGTTGTGTCTAAACTTATAATATTATTCGTCCATGGAAGAAGAAAAAAAAGAATGTTTGTGTTCTTTATCATCATTGTACAACTCAACTAAAAAATGTTTGCATATCATGTTTGCATTGCATTGATCATGCTAATCTTTGGACTTTTCCTTCAAAAAGTGTAACAACTGAAACATACACAAATTGTTTAAAACAAATTTTTCAAATTCAAGTTCCAGATAAAATTTTAAGTGATCGTAGTGCCGTATTTACAGCATCTAGATTTAGAAGATTTCTTAGAAACTATAATTTTAAACAATTATTGACTTCAGCTCATCATCCGCAAACAAATGGAAAAGTTGAAAAATCTAATGCGACAATAATCTCTAGGTTAAGATGTAAAATCAATCAAAACTCTAAAAAATTCCGTGGACAAAATTATTAAAGTAACACATGGATATAATTACACCTCTCATTCTGTAACTCAATTTTCTCCTGCTTACTTAATGTATGGAAAATTACTTTGTGATTCTCTTGTAAATCAAAATATTTATCCTCCAGTTGATGAAGCTAGACAAAATAGCTGTTCAAAATACCCAAGAGTCTTTTTAAGAAAACCGAAATTCGTTATGACACTCATTTTTTGGAACCTAATTTTAAAGTTACTGATTTAGTAATTTACGAAGAATTCCATTATCCTAACACAAGGAAATTAAATTCACCATATTCTGGTCCATACAAAATTGTAATGAAATTACCTGACATTTGAAATTTATAAACCTAATTTTCTCACTAACAAAGAATCAGAAATAGTACTTGTAAACAAATTAAGAAAATTTTATCCAAGACACTTTCAATTGTATGTGAAAAATCCCCAATAGCTTTTGAATGCTGATATTTTCATACGTCTTTCAATTTTATTTTCTGCCCCTATTTTTGGAGTCCCGTTATTTTCATTTTCTTTTTATTAAGTTATTTTTATTTTTATATTCTTATTATTCTTTCGACAGTTTTGGATTTCTGATCACCAAAATATAGGAAGTAGCCGCAATCTGGGAAATATGGTTCCAATAGTTTGACCAGGAGAGCTCTCCAAAGTTTGTAAATGTTAATAGTCCCTAAATGTTAATTTAACTTTTTGCGTATTTCGAAATTTTTCAAGCGAATTAAAACATTTTTGCACACAATTATATGATTCATTTATCCAAAGAAAATTCCATGCAGAAAATAATTTTTAATGCATATTTATTATTTTATTTCATAATGGTCGAAAAACCTTTGAATAGTAAGGTGTGCAATTTCAAAGATTTTACATGGAAAATACAAAATTTGAGCAAAATTGGTCGAGTAGTTCCTGAGAAATCAAATTTTAAATATCTGACTTTTTCGGTTGTTGTTGTTAATTAACGTCGCACTAGAGCTGCACAATGGGCTATTGGCGACGGTCTGGGAAACATCCCTGAGGATGATCCGAAGACATGCCATAACAATTTTGATCCTCTGCAGAGGGAATGGCTCCCCTGCTTCGGTAGCCCGACGACCTGCACGCGAAGTTGAGCACCTTACGGTAGAACAGTTTAACGAGGACCAATACCGCACACCCTCGGTCCCTACGCAGACTGATCAGAGTGGTCACCCACCCGCACACTGACCGCAGCCAGTGATGCTTGACTTCGGTGATCTGCTGGGAACCGTGTCTTAACGATAAGTCCACTGCGGAACCTGACTTTTTCGGAAATTCAATTTCTCTGGAATTATTCAAACGATTTTGCTTAAATTTTGTATTTTGACATGTAAAATTGTATTCTTTAAAATTATTCACAAAATGTTATAGCTTACAATTAAAATTTTTTCGACCAATATTAAATAAAATACAATTATTACAAAATGTAATAAAATACACTGTACAAAAAACGGCAAGTTACTTTATGTTAGAGCTAATAGATTTTTTACACCACTTTTTTCCCGATTTAACCCCTCTCCTATTTTGACCATGAATAATATTTTCTTCTCATCTCATAACCACAAAAAACGTATTTATAAGTATAGAATATTTTTGACTTAATGCAATGTTTTACTTTTTTTTAAAAAAAAATATCAGTTAATTTAATCAATGACTTTTGTTTGAAAAAAAAAATCAAGTGATTTAAATCATGCCAATTAAGCAGATTTCAGTGCTATCAGTCTCGCCTTCCTTAGTAGTGACTCGTTAGATTTCGAAATTCTTTTTGATTGCTTGAATTTGCAACCTAAACATGTAAGCTTTATTCACTTTAGGTTTGAGAGTTCAAAATGGCGGAATCGTCATAGAGCACACTGTTACAGGATGATTTTTACAGAATACAGGATGATTTTTATCACAACCGCACTATTAAAATGAGAAAACAAGCATTATTTCAGATCTTGTTTTCTTGTTCAGACCGTGCCGACTTTCACCTGTGAATGTCCGAAATATTAGTTCTATCCGATTTTATATCAATTTATTCCATGATATTATTATATTTATTCAATATTTTAATATCTGCTGAGAATAGATTAGGATAAACATCAGTATTCAAAGTACCGGTTAAATGCATGCCGGGCAGTGGTACTTGACCTTAAAAAACTTTGATGTAGGGCATACCGGGCAAGAGCACTTAGCTAGATCTAGTATATATTTCGGACATGGGCCGGGATAGCCTGGTCGGCAGGGCACTGGACCCGTGTCGAAGAGATCATGGGTTCGGTCCCAGCCGGTTGAAGACTCCTCGTGTAGTAAATGGTGACTGAAGCACATTAAATCTGTCGGGTCACAAAATCCTCCAAGTTCCCATAACAAATCATTTCCTCTGGGGGAACTGATACAGAAGCTCCCTTGTCTTCTGGATTGGAATCGAAATTACATGGATACGGGGTTGAGCATTGGTTGTCGTAAACCCAGCTGCTCAACTACGATTATAAAAAAAAAACAAAATATAATAAAAACTATGTAGTACCAAATCTTTTACAATTATTTTACCACAAAAGCAAATTGAACATTCGTAGTCGTAAGCCCATAATTGGGTCTGCTGCTCAACGACGGTTACAATATAAAATATTTCGAACATTTACCAAAGCGAGTATGTGATTGTCAACATTCACCGGTGGGAGTCAACAACCACCAATTTCCATCATTCACAATAACCTATGCATGCCATTTTGAAATCAGCATTTTCAAGAATTTATTATTACTTGTCTGTTATTGTTCCTATTTAAAAATAAAGTAAAAAAAAACTTGCTTTTGCATAGTCTACATGAAATTAATTTTCATATCTATCCCAAATCGGATTTTCGTTTGAAATTCAAAGAGATTTTTCAAAAATGAAAAAATCTTCAAATGGGCAATCTTCATTTCACCATTCATTTAACTTCAATAAAGTACAAAAAACGTAATTACATAACCAATTTGAAATCATCAAAAATCAGATGATTTAGCTCAACTTACACTGGTGCAAAAAATTAAGAGAATTTGCCGACTTAGTCGATTACTTCCAGAACAACTGAACCGATTTTAATGACATTTTATCTGCTCATACATTGATACAAAACAAAACAAATAACAATTGTAATACACACGCCAATTGCCACAGGAAATGACAAACTGCTTTATTTCAAGTATGAAGGCCTGCAAGGCCTGTATATCTGTAAGAGGGGAACCCTAATCCCCCCCTTTTTTTGTTTATTTTGCAATCGCTGTTTCATACCTTCCAAGTAGTGTCACTCACGATCATACGTGTGTATTACAATTGTTGAATGGTTATTTGTTTTGTATTGCATCAATGTATGTAAAAATTAAATTTCATTAAAATGGGTCCTGTAGTTATAGAGATAATCGGCCGTGTCTGCAAATTCTCTTAATTTCTTACAACAGTGCATTTCATAGTTTTGAGGTGTATCAATTTACGAATCACGTTTCTAAAGTTTTATATGAAAACAACTAAAAAAGTGTTTTCAACTCAGATACAATTTTTAGCGGAGTCATAATCATTGCCAATGCATCGGTAAGTCCGGGAAAAAGAAGATAAATCTGTGGAACCAAAAGAATGTTGAGACTTAGAACATATTCCATGCTAATTATCGTTAAACTAAATGCCCCCCTCTGGACACTACGCTTCAGAAAAACAAATTATAGTTGTAAAACAGTGTTCTTTTTCCATTCAAGTTTGACCTAAACCTTTTTAAAGTTTGATCTGATCAGTTAAACAATTTCCTAGGGGTTCCTGAATTCCGAAATGCTTTCATTACCTTGACATTGGTCAAAAAGAACAAGTGAGTAAAGATTTTAAAAGGAAGAACTACGAAATACACTGATGTAAGAAATTAATTTGATTTATTGAAATTACATACATTTGCTGACTTGTGTGCTCAATATAGGCTTATAAGTCATTGTCAAGTAGAAAATACAGATAGAACAATTCAGAGAAGGACATCACAAAGAATACATCCAGGGTTACGGCGGTATTCGAACCCGCTACCTCCGTTTGGACCGGCGATACCACTCGGCCAGGGAGGCCCCTAAGAAATTAAGAGAATTTGCAGACTGCGTCCCTTATTATCTCTAGAACTAATGGAACGATTTTAATGAAATTCGATATGTACATACATTGATACAATGCCAGGCAGGTGGCCGAGCGGTTAGCGTGCCTGACTGCGGAGCCAATGGCTGCGGGTTCGAATCCTGTTCTGGACATGAATCTTTCTCTCGATGTGTTGTCCTCTGTTGTGCGTGATGTGTGAATGTGGCGTGTGTACGGATATCTGTGGCAGTGTGGTGTGGGTAATGTTGCTCGCCTCCGTGACTTAGGTTTACAGATGCCCACTGGGTGACGTTAAATGAGCAACAATTCCGGCATCTTCCGAGGTAAAGAACGTAGAAGTTCAGTACCTACTGTTAGAAAAAAGAACATTGATACAATGCAAAGCAAATTACCTTTCGTCAATTGTAATACACACGCATTATCGTGCATAACACTCGTTGGAGTAGGAAGGTATGAAGAAACAGCGGTTGCAGCATAAATTTTAAAAAATTAGTTAATAGGAGCTATGGTTCCCTGTTGCAGATATGCAGGCCTTTCAGTGGGGTTTCATACTTGAAATAAGGCAGTTTATCATGTCCTGTGGCAATTTCATACCTTCCGACTCCAACGAGTGTTAAGAACGATCATGCGTGTGTATTACAATTGTTGAATGGTTATTTGTTTTGCATTGTATCAATGTATCTACCTATAGAATTTCATTAAAATCGGTCCTGTAGTTCTAGAGATAATAAGGGACGCAGTCTGCAAATTCTCTTAATTTTCTTACACCAGTGAAATTAATTGATTTGATTTTTAACCGATTTTAACTAAATTTGATTAAAGTTTGTGGAATACTCGTATGCTGGCTTTAAAGATTTTAAAAATACATTCGGGGAGGAGGATCATCCGACCTGTACCTGTGCCTATAAATTACTCAAAATTGGCTGTGAATCTAAACATATTAATTTTCTTTAATTAGAGCTGATAAATTTTATGTTATATTCATTATTTTTCTGCTTAATATTAAAATATGAAACAGAACTTAATATGTTAAACAGAAATAAATATTATTGCCGCTATAGTAAGCATGCTTTTGCTTCGTATCATTGTAAAGGTGAGGTATCATTTTGCGTAGAAGTATTTTTTCCTTTCTTTTCCCGGTTTTAGAGTTCGGGGCTGACATTTAAACCTCTTAGTTTTAAACATTTTGCAGAACGAACCCTGGTTTGTACAACCAAAATCTTGCTTACTCAGATTTTAATGCTCATTATCATGCAGCATTATTATGTATGTTTTCGTTTAATAATTCATTATTGCAAAGGTATCATTTTGGTTAGAAGTATTTTTCCTTCTTTCCATTTTTAGGCAGGGGAAGGAGGCAAATTTTTAAAGGTCCAAACATTTAGAAGGTGGGGCCCAGTTTTTACAATCAAAAGTTTGTTAACTCAGAATTTAATGCACATTATGCTGCAGTATTAAGTACGTTTATGTTTCAGAATTAATCTTTACGGAGATTAAATACCATTTTTCATTCTACCATTTTTAGAGGGGAGGCGGTTCTAGGAGCCCGTTAGCTTACGGCATTTTTCAGATGGGGCCTGGGTTAATACAGTCAAGAATCAGTTGACTCATAATTTTGTGCATATTACGCCGCAACTGTACGCATGGTTTGTTGTTTCATAATTTATCATTGCGAAGATGAAATATCATTTTAGACAAGGAAAAAAATGCTTTTGAAGAGGAGAAGTTGAAAAACGATTATTAGAAATAACACTTAAGTTTAATCGGGCTTCTTTTAGTTCTTTAAATGTCTGTTATATATTTTTTGCTAAATTATTGACTTGGATGTTTCCAATGCGTCGTTTCTTACATGAATTTTAAAATACATATTCAAGCTATTGAGGAACAAATATAATACTAAAAAATTAAATAGTAATTTTAATAAACGTACATTGAAAAGGAAAATAGATAAATAAAATATCGCGCATAAGTGAAAAATTTGAAATCTGATTTGTTTGCGTTATTAAGTAAAGCACTTCTCTACAGCGAATATGAGTTTAATCGAAAGTTTAAAGAACATTCAAAATGCTTAGCAAAACGAAATGGTTTTTTCCCGATTAAGAATCCAGACGAATTTTTGTCAATCTGGAAATTTTTCAGTCTTCTAATTGTTTAGTAAATTTTTTTTAACTTTTATATTTTCGACACGTTTAGAATTTTTGTTATTTTGCGATTTTTCAAGTTATTTTAGATTTTTATATTTAGGACATTCTTGCAGAGCCTGACTAAGGCAGGGACATGCGGGGCAGTTAGCCCGGGCCCCCACATCAGAGGGGGCCCCCAAATTTAGTAGAAAGTTTATTTTAAGTTTCCTTCTTTAATGAACTTTTTTTAAGCAAAATATCAGTACCGTGTAAAATCCGTCAGTTTAATGTTAGCTTCTTCATTAATCTATCGTATGAACACAATCTATATTTCGCAAATTCACGGCTTTCAAGGGCAAAATTCAGCTCAATTTTCGCAATGACNATGTTTCCAATGCGTCGTTTCTTACATGAATTTTAAAATACATATTCAAGCTATTGAGGAACAAATATAATACTAAAAAATTAAATAGTAATTTTAATAAACGTACATTGAAAAGGAAAATAGATAAATAAAATATCGCGCATAAGTGAAAAATTTGAAATCTGATTTGTTTGCGTTATTAAGTAAAGCACTTCTCTACAGCGAATATGAGTTTAATCGAAAGTTTAAAGAACATTCAAAATGCTTAGCAAAACGAAATGGTTTTTTCCCGATTAAGAATCCAGACGAATTTTTGTCAATCTGGAAATTTTTCAGTCTTCTAATTGTTTAGTAAATTTTTTTTAACTTTTATATTTTCGACACGTTTAGAATTTTTGTTATTTTGCGATTTTTCAAGTTATTTTAGATTTTTATATTTAGGACATTCTTGCAGAGCCTGACTAAGGCAGGGACATGCGGGGCAGTTAGCCCGGGCCCCCACATCAGAGGGGGCCCCCAAATTTAATAGAAAGTTTATTTTAAGTTTCCTTCTTTAATGAACTTTTTTTAAACAAAATATCAGTACAGTGTAAAATCCGTCAGTTTTAAGTTAGCTTCTTCATTAATCTATCGTATGAACACAATCTATATTTCTCAAATTCATGGCTTTCAAGGGTAAAATTCAGCTAAATTTTCAAAATTACGGTAGACAAATATGGCCAATCAAAAGCTTGTGTTTTCACATATCGCAAAATGCGATATGTTTATTAAAATACAGGCTTCGGATTGACTTAATTGAGTCATCGTAATTGCAAAAAGTTAGCTAAAATCCATCCTAATGTCAGCAAGGATATGAATTTTTCGTAGATAGTTGACAAGGTTAATAATCAAAAAACTGCATTTCGCATGGTGGACATGGAATTGTCAGAAAATCAATAAAATGGACAAGACGATATTTCGTCTGACCATTTGGGGGGGGGGGATTTAATAGCTATTTTAGGTTCTAGTCAATTTTCTTGTTATCCATAATGAGGTGAAAAATTTAAATAACTCCATAAAGTTCGCGGTTCTTCATAGCTTAAATAGTGAAGCAGAGAAGGGCCCCAAAAAAAGTTTCTGACCCGGGCCCCAATTAGGCTAAGTCGGGTCCTGCTTTCTTGAAAAAATGTTTTAATTACACGAATAAAAATTTTATAACATTTTAAAAAAGTAATTGAAAAACAAATCTTTAACCCCCGTAACTTTCTGTGACGCGAATGTTTTAACTGGAAATTAATTGATTTTGTTTAACTGCACTGTAATTGTTAATTAATGTTACGAAATCTTTTTGGCTCTGCCAATCAGGCGATGATGGCGCCGAAAGTGAGGTTTCTCAGATCAATATTGTTTTTCGTCCGTAGAGCTGCCCTCTGGCGGGGGAGTCATTCATCACCTTCCCTGCAGGAAAGCAGACATTCGATCGAGCGTCCCTCCTTGGATTAAAATCAAGTAAGTTAAGATGTTTCCTCATATAAAAACATTCTAGAAAGTTGCATTCTTTAAGTTGCATTAAAAGGGATTTCTTTCACTTTTGATACCCTTAATAAATAGCGTTAAAAAACGGGGGAAATATGCATTAATAGATAGTTCCTATTATTGTTTAGATAAATCTCCGGGGTCTGAATAATACATTGAGAAATAGTAAGAAAAATATACGGCTCGAAATTATTTTTGAGGTAGGAGATGGGTGTTTTTATTTTTTTACGTTGCAAAACATATCTCTTTGACTAGTTCCACCACAATTTTGTGCCTTTTACAGAAATTGTATTTTAATTGTAATAATTTTTTAAAATTTTTGATGATTTATTTATTTATTCTTGATTTCCTAAAGAATAATAGGAACTATCTATTAATATGCATTAATGGATAGTTCCCATTCCTGTTAAAGGAAATCTCCAGGGTCTGAATAATACATTGAGAAATAGTAAGAAAAATATACGACTCAAAATTATTTTTTAGGTTGGAGATGGGTGTTTTTATTTTTTTACGTTGCAAAACATATCTTTTTGACTAGTTCCACCACAATTTTGTCCCTTTTACAGAAATTTTATTTTAATTTTAATAATTTTTTAAAATTTTTGATGATTTATTTATTTATTTTTGATTTCCTAAAGAATAATAGGAATAATAAACATATCTCTTTGACAAGTTTATAATCCACTGCAATTTTGTCCCTTTTACAGAAATATTTTTTTAATTTTTAATGATTTCTTTTTAGTTTCTAATAATTTAACTTTCATTTTGATTTCCTAAACAATAATAGGAACTATCTACTTATATGCATTAATAGATAGTTCCTATTATTGTTTAGGAAATCTCCGGGTCTGAATAATAGATTGAGAAATAGTAAGAAAAGTATACGGCTCAAAATTATTTTTTAGGCAGGAGTGTTCTTATTTTCTATTCTTATTTTCTTATTTTTCTATTGTTCTTATTTTCTACGTCGCAAAACATAACTCTTTGACAAGTTTACTATTCGCAAATTTATTATTCAAATTGAGTTTATAGAATTAAAAAAAACAGTAAAACTGATCCATACAGAGTATGCTACCCATAATATACATATATTTTTTTTAGAATCATTGTTAAAAATAAAATTTAAAAAAAAATTTGCATATTCGGGGTCACAAATTAGTCATTAAGCCAAAAATCTAGCGAATCACTAGTGATGAAAGCGAAAGGAAAAATATTAAAACCAGTTTGGTTGAAGGCGAAAAGCAGTGTCAGTTTCGGTATTCGTCATATTGCATATTTTTTTCGCTAATAACTGATTGCTAATCTTTTTTTTTTAATTGTGAAATAAGTTGTTTCTTTTTTAGTCGTCTAAAAATTTATTTGTAATTTAATGAAGAGATTTTAATAAAACATTTTATAGAATAAGATCATTTTATTCAACGAATGTTGAGTTTTATAAAAACCTGTTCCTGATAGAATTTGATTATACATAACTTTTTTTAATTTTAATTTTAGTTTAATCTTTCAATAATTGATACGATTTAAATAATATACAAACATATGCATAGATTTGGAATAATATGTTAACCAGTTTCTTAAATATATATTTTATAATTATTAATACGAATACGTAGTCAACATCTTTAAGCATCTTAAAACTTCTCAACATCTCATATATCAGCATAATCTTAAAATAAATTTGTTAATTATCTGTCAGGGCGTGTTTCGCAGAATTATTTTACCAACTATTTAATTAAATTTCAACATTTTTAAAAATCTTATTCTTCACGTTACCCCGATTAGTATTTTTCCATTACTATACTAATCAAATTTTCTTAGTACTTTAATTTATGTTTTCCTTTAACGTAAAATTCCTTTTTTAAATTATTGTCAAGTTTTTATTGAACGAAAACTTAGAATTATTGCCAGCTAGCTGAGAATTAAATCTTGTTAAGAAATTAAAAATATTCTGCTGATCAAAATTATTTGATGCAGAACAGCTGACTGTTTACTAATCTTACTATTTTTTTCGAAAAATGAATATAAATTATTGATCGTCTTTTTTCATTGTTTCTTATTTATTTGCGCAGTGAAAAGTAAATGAGTATGTGTGCACAGCAAAACATACAACAGTTTGCTTTGTTTTTTAAATGAAGGAAAAATTATGGACATGCGATTACATTTTGATGTTCAAAGTTATTCTTGCCCGCTAAATTTAAGAAATTTGCCCTTTTAAAAAGGATCATGTTAAAAACATTTGCTTAAAAAATTGTTAATATTATTTCTCAACTTTAGCACGATTCAAAAAAATATTGCTATATCAGAAAAATGCTTGATATGTCATATTTTGTTAAACAGCCACTAAAATAGAAAATTGTAAAAAGAGACTAGGGATCCTCTTATGCATGTCATTCGACTTTGAAATTTCAAATATAAAATGCAATAATTACAAGAATGCGTTATCTGGCTTCTACTACTAATAAAAAAGAGACAAAATCGTCTGCAAAAGAAGTTATCTCATGAAAAGAATGTCAGAATTAAAAAAGTTTTGAAAAAACTGTAAAAATTGGTACTCTTGTTTAACTAGGTGTATTATAAACCTAAATTTTCCTTTCTTTTAATTTTTTAAATTATATTTTTTGATAAACTAACGAAATGAGTGTGTAAGTAATACCCATTTTTTTTACTGCAAACCAAGTTTACTTAGTATCATTCGCAAATCTTATGAAGTGCAAATTCTTGAGCCGCCGTGTGGGATAGTAGGATATTTTATGCATGATTGGTAGTTTCAGAAGTTGACTCTAATGTTAGTAGTAGGTAGCTAAATTCTTTCAAAATTCTAATTCTTGCTGTTTTACAAATCTTACAAAGCATGTGCATTTTTTAAATGCTTATTTATATGATTATCACATGGGCCATCAGTTTTCCCTTGATGAAGCAAAAACCTTGACCCTAGCAAGCAGCTGAAAACTAAATCATTATGAATTATTATCTTTCTAACCTTTTTTTTAAAATTCTCTAATCTTGCTATTTAAACACTATGATCAGCTGCAATATATTTTTGCTTGAGCCAAAATATTGACGATTTTTTATTTTTTACAATTGACATACATCAACATAGTTAAAGAAATAGTTTTCAAAGGGCGCATCTCTAACAATACTTCAGTGAATCACAAAAAAAAAAATGATTTAGCACAATTTATGAGTTAGTTTATCTTCTTCATAACCCCACACAATTTAAAGGTTAAAATTGATGATTTTTTGTAAAAGGAAGCTGGTACAAACCAGCTGAAATAAAAGAGCTGACAGAAAAAGATGCATAAAAGTTTGCTACACTACACTAAATAAATTATTTATATTAAATAATCAAAATATACATTTATAAAACATTCGTTTCATATAATTTTTTATTTTAAAAATGAGAAGTCTTATGGCGTTTATCTAACTTATGTTTTACAATATTTGTAATGTTCAAAATGCTTAAAAGGTATCCACTTAAATCTTATAGGAAAAAATTTAAACATTTTGATTCTATTTATAGTTTTCTGTTTTTTAAGTCACAGATTATTTAACCAATGAATGTCACTGACTTATTGATCGGGAAGTTAAATTGTTAATTCAACTCAGCAAAACTTGAAAGAGTTATCTACCACATACGCATTTAGTTTCAGATAATTTATTTTATTAAACATTTTTATCTTAAGTAACGTGGTGGGAAAAATATGTCCTAGCGAAAGCTATAATTTTTAAATATTGTTGCTCAACTACTTTTTCACCTATAATTTCTGCTGCCATCTTCTAATAATTTCAGAAAATTAAAATAATATACCAATTATAGGATTTGAATGCTGGAAACAGTTAAGGAATCAAGAAGGGGGGCCAAAACTGGGGAAGTGTTTTGTCTTTTGCATAAAGTGCTCCTTCAATTCATTACTTTTCATTGAATTTATTTCTAGTTACAAGCAGAATTTATAAATTCGGTTATTTATAAGCATAATTACTTTATAATGTAAATATTTTTCTCGTACTGAAGTATTGTACATATTTAGCATATTTTTCCCTCTTCATACAATAAAAATAATTAATGAATTGATTCCCGTTTAATATAAGAAAATCATAAAACTTTCTATCCTAGGCCAAAACTAACTGTTGCTTGCCTTCTGCAAACAAATTCCATTGTCTAGATTCTACATTCGATTCTAATTACTTTTCCAAAATTACTAAGTGCATGAGTTTTAGGATCTTTACTTTTGAAAAAAAAATTCTACAATAATTTAAAAATTATCAAATGCTATTTCTCTTAATAAAGGAACGCTTTTACTTTCCGAGAAGTACTATACGTTAGGTATAGTGCTATCATATGATATACCAACATTAATGTTTGTAAAAAAAAAATCTAGAAAATGAATTTCAATGAATTTCTTCAGTTAGATCATAGGATTTCTTTAGGTTAGATCATAAAAAACAACTATATTCTGATCAAAAAATTAATGCATATACAACTGATATTACATCTCCCCCCCCCCTCCTCCTGGAAGCTGTGTATATAGAGGTTTTGCCTCTCAATGAGATAATTCAGAACCAAATCGAATTCTGCCCTCGACTACAGTGCTGATGTCAAAATAATATCTGATCATGGGTTAAAATCCGGGCTAACCATGAGAGTTTTAACCTAAGGCCAATGTGGATTAGTTCCATCAGACCATTTCTCTTCTGTGAAGGTTAGTTTATTCCATTACTTGGTCTCGGAGTTCCCTTGTCTTCTGGGATAGGTTCAAAATTAAAAGCATAAGCAGCTGAACATGGATACCCATAAAACCAAAAATAGGTTTGCTGTTCAACGCCGATAATATAATAAAACACCCCGAATTTAAATTCAAATTTATACCTATGGGTGGAATCTTTATTTTTTCCTTATAATTAGTTTTAAATAATTTTTACCATAAACTTCGTGTTACAAAGTGTTTGCGCTATTCAAACTTTGCATCACCTACTTCTAAGCCACGACTACCAAAACTAAAAATTAATTAAAAAAAACATGAATGTGAGTTTTTAAAAGTTGAAGCGACTAATTTTGTAATTAGGTTGTTTTTCGAAGGATATCTCTTTTCATGAAATAACTATTTTTTGCAAATGTTTTGTATTTCCCCCAATACTTAATCCCTTGTCTTCTGGATTGAGTTCAAAATTACAAAGTTACGGAGTTGAACATAAGTAGTCGTAAACAAAATATTTGGGTATGACTAAGGTTATAAAATAAAAATAAAATAAAATGTTATGTTTTGAGCCGTGGTGGCTCAGAGGATAGAGCACTCGCCTCCCAGTGAGGTAATCCGGGTTCGATTCCCAGTGTGATGGCTGGACGAAACGAATTCCGCACCCGGTTTGCACCGACTGCGGTGCTGACTTAAAATATCCTCAGTGTTAGATGGATTGTGGGTTAGAGTCCCCTTGCAGTCAGTGGGAGTGCTAACCGTAGGAGATTTTCCTGGTTTTCTTCTTCATGTAACGGAAATGCAGGTTAAATCCATCAAAAAGTCATTCACGAAGGCAAATTTATCCCAATACTTTGTCTAGGAATTCCCTTGTCTTCTGGATTGGGTTCAAAATTACGAAGCTACGAAGTTGAACATTAGTAGTCGTCATTGGGTCGGCAGTTCAACGACAGTTATAAAGTAAAATATTATGTTGTGATTTCCAGTAGTAATTCACGACTATTAGTTTAATCTATCTTTAGTCAGCGCCCTCTATGAAAATGGTGTCAATGTAAATTAAAGTCTCAGTTTTACAAAAATTAAAAGTGTTTGTGATCTAGTTTTGAAAATGTTAGAACAATTTCACCAACGGATCTCATAAAATTTGCAAAAATTATTCACTACTTCTAGAGCAAGGGTTTCCAACTTGCATGAGGCCGGGGGCCACAATTAAAAAGCACAAACCAAAATGCGGGCCGCAACTTTATCAAAATTTTATGTAGGACTCTTTTATGTTTGAAGGAACATTAAATATTACAATCAGATTTTTACCAAGTTGTACAAAACAAAAGTATTAAATTACAAATTAAAATAAGAAGATTTTTAGAATATTTAATTGCATATTAAAAAATATGGGCTACAATAACTTTAATGCGCACCCATGTATTAAACAGTTAATGTGCAACAGATATCTAATTGTTAAGATATAAAACTTTAAAAAGGTTGGTATTAAAACTTACATAGTTGCACACAAAATGTTCAATGACAAAATTGAGGCTTGTCTGCTGCAACTAGTACCAGAGAATAGATATTTACATTTTAAATTTAAAAATTACAAATGTGTGTGTAAATATTTTCGTTCAAAATGAGTGGTTTCAAAAAGTTAAATCGGAGAATTTCTTCGAGAAAGTTTCTGATACACACATGCTAAATTATATTCCCAAAATACAAAAAAAAAATGAAATAAAAAAAGCAACGTACACGATTATTTTTGTATTTGAATAAATATTTTCTTGGATGCAAAACCTGAGAAATAATTTTTTTTGCAATTTTGGTATGATAAATTTCACAGAAACGAAGAAATTACGTTTTCATTAACGAGAAAAGCATTTATTAGATATTTTATAACGAGAAAAGCATTATATAGATTTTTAACGAAATTTGTCCGCAAAAAAATGACAANCACAAATGGACCAATCAGAGGTTAACGCTGATTTCCAGCTGACGGCGTCCTGTCCTAAGAAACCAGGCCTTGAGAGGAAAAAATCTCGCCAACGTGATGACTTTTAAAACTTGCAGGATAGATTTTTAATATTTAAGTCATTTATTCTTTTTAAAGCTCAGCTGGTTCCTTACGCCAGGAAATCGTTTAAAATTACTTCGTTTCGAAATTTAAGAGTGTATTCTATTTACTTATTTTCCTTGTCACAATAGTTTTGAAAAATATTTTTAATAACTAAGACGAAACAAAATTGACTGCATTATGAAATCATTCGTTTTTTCTCTTTTCTAGAAACACCATGAAACTGCTGTTCGTAATAGTCATGCATGCCTTACTGGCCCTGGAATATGAGGTATGCTTTCTTTCCTTTTTTATAATTCACTTTTATTTTAAATGCTCACGACACGTTTTTTTTCTTCAAAATTATCTAGTTCTTTTAAGTCATTTATAGCTCCTCTTTCCTTCCAGTAATGTAGGCAATGAAATTATAGTGAAAGGTAACAGTAAGAAACGAGAATGCACAGGGTGATTTGTAATAACCGCCCTTACTTTTTTTTTTGGATACCTTGTCAAAGATCAAGTCAAAATAAGTTTCGGCATCAAAAGATGCAAATTAATAGTCAAACAAAGGAAGATAAAAAAAAAAGAGCTGTAGAAATTTGCCGAGTTGAAAAACATTGTGATGCTCTCTGTTTCCTCCGGCAATAAAAGAGGTTTTGATGTTTTCAGCTTTGATGTTTTCAGTTCCGCTCTCTTCAGAATGGATTTCGAATACCGTTTTCGCCTTTTTTTCGCTTTGAATATTAAATATTAACCCCTAATATGTATACTTTTTTGACTGCATATTTGTCAAGAATTCAAAAAAACCTATATTATACGAAATACGATGGTATGTTTTTTCCCTCCATTTGTAAGCACTGTTTTAGAGATTCAAAATTTCGTTTGAGAAAAAATGTGATAAATGAAACCTTTCATGCAACTGATGTACATACATAAATTTAACTATTTGTTTAATTTAAAAAATAAATTAATAGTACAAATCTCCCCTGTAAGAGAAAGTGAAACCGTGGATTGCCAATTAAGCAGCAAAAATTGATAGGTTAAAAATTGATCGACGTTATTTACGTCGCACTAGAGCTGCACAATTGGCTATTGGCGACGGACAGGGAAACATCCCTGAGGATGATCCGAAGACATGCCATCGCAGTTTTGATCCAAAGTCAATTTATAAATTGACTTTGGAGGTTTTTTAATATTTGTTCAAGTACTTATCCTCCCAAATCATCGGACCGAAATTTATTTGCGTCTGATTGTCTAAAAACAACTACAATATATAAATATATATATATTATTTTAAAAAAGTCATTTTTTAGGAACAGGATTATTATGTATGATTAAACATCATTTTTTAGAAATAGGTTCCAAATCGATCGAGTGGAATCCTCTAAGAATTTATTTTACTAAATGCATGATATAACGAGAAAAAAAAATGCTTAAATTGTGCATAAAAATTGTTCTTTTTACTGATGAATTGGAATAATCACTAATGATACCTTCATCTGTGATGAAACAGCGCCAAATGTGCGCAAAGATAACGATTAAAAGAGATGCTGAGATCTTATGATCCGATAAGCGTGGCTGTTTGCCAAGATTGTGACGTCACACAGAGAGAAAGGGTGGTGTCGATTCAATATCTATTTTTCGGAACGGAATGCTTTTCAATTTATTTACCCCCAAGTTACTTTATCCTCTAAATAACTACCTCAGCAAGAAATGTGATGAATTATGAATGCTTTATATATGCACATACACAAAATTTAACTTTTTTTTAGATTTTTTGCTTAGTTTTGATTTTTTATGAATGTGTACTATTCGCAAGAAATGTTTATAAATAAAATAAAACTTTTCTTCCGTGAAGATAAAATAAAATGAATATTTATGTGCAACAAAAATAAAATTATTTTCACCTTATCAGTTCATTTAGAAAAACTTTCTTTTACAAAAATTTATTTTTATTTTATTATTTCCGTTTTGAAATAATGAAATGAATAAATTTTATAAATTCCATTTGGCTATAAAATGGCGATGTAATTTCTGCTTGTAGTGGTCAACGATACAAACTTTTATTGTCATCTTGCACACAGACCTCCAGTTAAAATTTTAGCTCGCCAGCTAGTCCGAAAGGGGTCGTAATGTCGATTTAAGATTCCCTCCCACGATACGATATTGACTAAATAAAGAAAAAAGTCTTAAATAAATCAAACCACTGAGCGATTATTTCGACAGTACATTTCTGAAAATTTTTTTAAAACTATTCTTTGGTATTCAATTTCATCCGTTATTTTGAAAAATACCTGCTCGGCACAAAAAACTGTAGACAAATAGCGAGTTCGTTCCCACCTCCAATATTATTTGAAACAATAAAATGCACTTTTTTTTAGTTCTGTGTACATTTTTTCAAACATGTAGTGGAGGACACTTGATGTTAATATAGTTTTTTACAAATATTAATTTATTAATTAAATTTAATTAATTAATTTTAGTTTTATTTGGGAGAAAAATTGTAATTATTTAATAAAAAGTAACTAAAAAATTTTTTTTCTTTGTTGACCTTAGTAGGAACTGACTTTAAGAATTTTTTTTCATATTATTTGTTCATTTTTATTAGAATGCTTTCGGGAAAAAATTCATTTGCTACAGATAAATAACGCTAAATATTTAAATATACAATGCATAAAAAAAATTTTTTTAAATAAAAAATTTAATAAATTTAAATTTTTGTCTGCTTTGCCAAGATAGTACGTCTGCTTTGTATTTTGTCTCCCACGATATTTAGTTTTCTTTAGATTTTGTACCACAGTATTTTTTCGACACGATATTTCGTAACGGTATCAGTTAACCAATATCCATTGTCTACAACTAAAGGTCACATTTTTAGGATTTTCCGCAGTTTTGCCGTTATTTTATTCAATTTAAGTAAAGGGAAATTCAATAAAATGAATGACTCATACAAATTTCATTGCATTAATTTATCTATTCCTCTAAAATAAAATCATTATTTTTTACAAAACAGGCCTTGGATGAATTTAACAATGATGGAGATCCCTTCTTGGACATTGACTTAAAAAAGCATCTCAAACTAGAAAATGGTATGTATGTGTTACGTTTTTGATCCAAACTACTGAAATGAACTTTTTTTACGAAGCCTTTGTCCGACTATTTTTACAATACTAGCAAAAACATTTTACTGTTATATTGACTAATGAAATTATCGGCGAAACCAATTAGAACACCAATTTTCTAGCCAAAAAAGCTAAAATGCAATTCTTAAAGTAGGCCTAATAGAGAAAACCTTTATTTAGGGGTTTTTATGAGCAAGTAAATTGAATTCATAGTGGAAATTTTGAAATACACTAAAAATACCTAAAAAAACAATATGGTGGGCAAAAATTAAAAAAAATAATATAGCACGTTTAAATAATTAAATATAGCAATGAAAATATAATAATTTTCGTCATTTTATATTAAAAATGAAAGGCAAATTATATTTCAGAAGTAATATTACAAAATAACGAGAATTAATTACAAAATAACGCGAGAACATGAAAAAAAAACATAATTTTTGTTTTTCAGTATATTTAGTCCACCTTTTCAATACGTACAAAATGGGGCAGGTTTTTTCGAAAGAAGAAGCATCAAAGAAGACAACAAAAAAAAGTTTAGCTAATTTCCTCGTGGAGCTTTTTGGAACTAAGTTCCGAAAGTCATTCAAACATTGTAAAATGTCAAGAGATAAGATATAAACTATAAGTTTGTCAAGAGTATTAACTAATCCAACACATTGAAAAATTGTACTATCATTTCAGACTCATTACTCTGATAAAAATGTAATAGTAAGGTGAAATTCCTATATATATTTCTGAAATAAAAATTTAAAAGTTACATTTAAAAAAAATTTGTAACATATTTTTCATTACATTGTACTCTTGTCAGTCCCAAAAATTAAATTATAATGTTTGGAATGATTATGAATGCTTAATTTGGGCTATATTAAAACTGCCTACACATATTTCAGTTGAAAATTTAATTTTTGACTTTTGGCCAAATATCATGGTCTTCTGGCCCACAGTGCAGGAGTGGTTTTAGTTAAACCAATGAATGCTCCATTGTTATAATTTTGAATATAAAGTTATTACCTGGTAAAGACATGTCTGGATCCGGAAGCCCCCAGCAATCTTCAATAGTAGGGAAATAACAATTAAAATAATCATAATTCGTTTATTTTTTAAACCACTTTGACAGATCTTAAAAATTTGTTTAAATTCATCTCTGATAGTGGTCGCCAAGATTACTTTTAAATCGAATTTATTAGACGGAAAATAAAACTTCGAATCTTAAAATTTACAAGCACTTTTTTTGGGTTTCAGCAGACTGAGATAATATGAATAACTTTCTGAGAACACAGATTCTCAATTAGAAAATTTTCAGTGCGCATTGATTAACTCTTTCAACTAGTTTCAACCCTTAGGTCGCCACTTCATTTTGGCGAGATTCGCTTGAAAATCACGGATTTTTTTTAAAAAATATGTTTGATTTTTATAGAACTCTGTATTGATTTATGCCACAAGGATGTGTTTGGTAAAAAACTAAAAAAGGCTGAAAACAGAAATCCAAAAGCGCAAAAACACTGATTGAAAAAATTCTTGAAATTCGAGCAAGAGAAAAGTGTATGTAGGAAGCATTTATGCACAATGTTATCAAGGCTTTAATAAAAATATCGATGCCAAATGTTATATATTTTGTTTAAATTGTGTGAGTATGAATCTCAATGTGGGATTTTTAAATCACGCGAATACAAAATTCGACATTTAATTTAAAAAGTCGCGTGAGTACGGATCTCGTTGTTTTATTATAAGATCGTGTGAATATAAATTCCGATGTGTAATTTTGAAGTCACATGACAGCGAATCATAATAATGGCTTTTACTTCGCATGAATACCAAACGAGATATTCGATATAAAATCGTGAAAATACAAAACACGATGGGCGATCTTTTTCTTGAAAATAAGAAAAAAACAAACTTTCTCTGAAAGTGCGGATTTCTTTTTTTCTTATTTGATAATAATAAAAAAAAATTTCCGCGATGATGATAAATTTTCCGCATTTACGTCTGGGTTAAAGTAAACTGTATTAAATTAACCATGCATAAATATTACGTGTTCTGCAGATCCGTGTGAGACAACGGCGTGCGGCAGAGGACGAGAATGTGAAGTGAATGAGTTGGGTGAGGCAGTGTGCATTTGTCAGAGGATGTGCAAAAAGAGAAGAAAGAAGCCTGTGTGCGGAACTGACGGACATTACTACATCAACCATTGTGAGCTACACAGGGCAGCCTGCATATCAGGAAGGAGTGTCCTCATCGACCACAAAGACTCATGCCTCAAGAAGAAACGTAAATCTTTTTTAATCTCTTCTTTTTGGTAGACTAGTTTCAAATCAGGAAAAAGTACACCAAAAAATCAAATAGTCCTCATGTTTTAAATAATATGGATGTTGATGACCTAAAAAAATGCCCTTGACCAGTGGTCGGAAGTAGCACATTACAAGTATTGTAACTACGCTAGCAACAATTATACCTTGGCCTCAGTTGGGTTCAATATGTGTCCTAAATGAACATGCTCTGAGAGAAAAATATTGGGATGTCTAAGTTCTTTAATATTGGTCCTATGCAGTGTCAATATCGGCCTATATAGGGCCAATATAAGAGTTATTTTCGTTGAATAATGGTTATAAAATATATGGTGAATCTGACAATTCCGTATAGGGCTGATATTGGTTTTAAAGAGGCAGTAAACTTTTGGGTGAATCTGACAATTCCATATAGGGCTGATATTGGCTTTTAAAGTAGCAGTAAAATTTTGGGTGAATCTGACAATTCCATATAATGCTGATATTGGATTTCAAAGTGGCAGTAAAATTTTGGGTGAGTCTGACAATTCCATATAGGGCTGATATTGGATTTGAAAGTGGAAGTAAAATTTTGGGTGAATCTGACAATTCCATATAATGCTGATATTGGATTTCAAAGTGGCAATAAAATTTTGGGTGAATCTGACAATTCCATTTAGGGCTGATATTGGATTTTAAAGTGGCAGTAAAATTTTGGGTGAATCTGACAATTCCATATAATGCTGATATTGGATTTTAAAGTGGCAGTAAAATTTTGGGTGAATCGAACAATTCTATCTAGGGCCCATATCGATTAAATATCGACCCTGTGAACCCTTATTGAGCCAAGATTCGTGAATATTAGTGTAATGAGGGTCCAAGTTATTTTGCTGCTAGGATACTGTAGTCGCTTCTTTTTTTTGTAGTTCGTAGTGTAGTGTGCTACATTTTTTTAAGAAAGAAGTAGTGTTGTGAGTGCGATTTTAAAAAAAAACTGTAGTTTGTAGCGACTCCTGGCAACTACTTTTTACGTTAGCTTTGTAAAGAAATAGAATACTAACGCAAGTAATTTTTCAAATTTCATGGGTACAAGTCTTCGCTGGTTTGTCAAATGCCCCTGCAACTGTGAATAAACAATAATTGAGTATTTAGAGGCTCGCATAACTAATATTTAAGCTAGTTATTACGAATAATATATATTTTTATACAATTTATAACTTTGATCACACTTTCACGTGTGAATGCACACTCGCGAAACATGGATGTTATTTCAAAGGAAAGGAACATATTTTCGATGTACTTAATTTCTTAGAAGAAACAAAAGAGCATTAAACACTTCACGAAATGGCAAGTATTTGATAATATCCTAGCATTTCTTAAATTAAACATTCGCTGCCAAGAAGGGGTTAAAAGGTTGAATTAAATGAACAAATTTGAAAAAAGTGTTTTAGAATAACAAAATGGCTCATGTAAACATAAATAAATATTTCTAAATATCTCTCCGTGTTAAGCCAATTTCTTATTCAAAACCATTTTGAACGAAGGTGTTAATTAATTTCTCGAGCAAAGTTCGGTTCCTTAAAGTGGTAACTACATTTCGAAAGTAGTTAGTAGTCACTACATTTAAAAAAAGTAGTTGCAGTTGCAGTAAACTACTAAAAGAATGCAGTTTTTCCGACTACTGCCCTTGACTAGAGAGATAGAGCGCTCATCCCAATGAGGTGACCCAGATTCGAATCCCAGTGGATGCAAATTTTGCTCCCGGTACTCGTCAAGCACAGTGCTGACATAACATAACCTCAGAGATAGGCGGATCATGGGTTAGAATCTCCTTACCATCGGGCTAACTGTGAGAGATTTTCGTGGATTTTTCTCGCTATTTTAATTTTAATTTTCTCGGAAAATCAGGCCAGTTTACCCCAATGTTTGCTCCTTGTCTCTTTTCTGAGTTGGATTCAAAATTACAAAACTACGTGCAATAGTATGTCGACTTTACAACGCCGCCTATAAAATATAATGAAAATTTTAAAAAATTTCCCTAAAAACTATGGCTTTATTAAAAACAATCGATCTTTAAATAATAAAAAAATAAAGCTCTTAAAGCATGCTTTGTATATTAACATGCTGCGTGAATCATAACTTGTATTTATGAATTGAAAAAAAAAGAAGTGATTAAAATAAATATGTAACTTATGAATAACATAAAATTGAAATAAATATTTGATTTTGATATAAATAAGAATATATAAAAAAATTTTATAGCAATTTTCAAAAATATCAGAATTGCATTTTGTAATCGAATGATTTTTGATATTCTTAAAATCGAATAATTAGCTTTTATTCAGAAGAAAATTCTTTTATCTAAAGAAAACTCTAATCAACATTCGTTGTTGAGAAAAATAATTTTTTTTTAATGGTGGGCACTTGGGGATTGTCCCATTGGCCACAGGAATGCCAGAACTGCTACTCTTTTCTCGTTACCCAGTGGGCACCTGTGGCGAGGCCACGGCGGTGGAGCAGCGTCACCCACGTCACACAACCACAAACCCGTTTATAGGGAGGGTCACATTCACACATTCACACAAAGGAGAAAGGACATAGAACACAGAGAAAAAGAAACATCCATGCCCTGAGCAGGATTCGAACCCGCGGCCAATGGCTCCGCAGTCAGACACGCTAACCACTCGGCCACCTGGTCGGCGTTGAGAAAAATATTCGTTACTGTGAGTGACCGAAATTGGTGGTTGTTGACTGCCACCGGTGAATGTCGACAATCACATAGTCGCTTTGGTAAATGTCCGAAATATATGCTAGGCTGTAGTTAAGTGCCACTGCCCGCCATACCCTACATTGATGTTTTTTAAGATCAAGTGCCACTGCCAGGTATGCATTTAACTTGCACTTGGCATTATCGAAATTAAATTTGGACCCGAGATTCGAACAATGCGTGTCAATAAATTATTTGTAGCATATTTGATAACGGACATATCTTTGGTATTCTTTTAGTTTAAATTTCAAAGCACGTCTGGATTGTCCGAAGTAACCAAGGTTTTGAGTTTTAATTTCTGTTTCAGCCTTAGCTGCAGCGGCTGTATTTCTAACAATGTTTTTCATATTTCTAACAATGAATCGACTCCGAAACTTTTTTCCAAAATATATTTTAGGATATACTATAGGCGTACTTTCGTAGAGTTTATTCTATACGCCCTTTATATTTGCTTAAAATATTCAATTCAAGGGTACTTTCGCGTAGGTTCTTCTTTTAAGGCTATTTTTTAAAGTACAGGATTTATATGATTCCAATTTATTTTAGGGAAGAATTCCAAACCGACAAAGCCAGCATTTTATTACGAAGAGGAAAAGAAAGAGATGCCATCTTGGCGAAATTTACCACCTTATGAACTGAAAACTGTCTCCCCAGCAGAAGAGGGCGAACCCACTCAGCGAGAATGTACACACGAAGAATACGATTTTATGAAAGAGAACCTCCTACTCTACAATAACGCCAAACTCATGGACAGCAAAAAATCAGGTCAATATCTCCATGTTTTCCAATAGCATTACTGGATTTATTTATGTATTTTTCTACAGCCATTTACGAAAATTATTTAAATACAGTCATTTACAGCCCCTGGCCACATTATTAGACACACTATGAGATTCTATGTAAAATATTAATTATCAGGTGATATTCTATACAGCTTTTTGGTTTTTACGCGACTAAAATCGGTTTGCACTTGGTTACTTTCGTGTATCAATTGGATTAATTAGAGGATATATAATCTGAATATATAATACATATAAATATAGAATACTTATTATATCAGGTATTATATTAGTATGTTATAATAATTAGACCAAATTATTTAACACATTGCAGTGTTTTAAAAAACTGCATGTTTTGCACGAGTTTATAGTTATACTAGGAGGCTCCGCCCCCTGCTCGCTAACTCTCGCCAACCCCCGAGAATTGCTACGCAATCCTATGTGGTTCACGCCGTGAACCATGGCTCGCTGCGCTCGCTCGCCAATGAACACAATGTTCTAGCACAAAGACATAATATATTATCATCAAAGACATAGTATTTTATCATCAAAGACATAGTATTGTACTTATGTAGAAGAATTCTA